CTGCAGCGCTGCTGACTGTTTGTGGGTTGAGCGCGACGGTGGCCCGGTGACAGCCGCCGCTTTCCCGGTCTCATCCAGCTATCGCGAAGAACGGCCTTCTGTTGTCTGACATAGCTGCTGACATGGCCTTTGACAATGGTGGCGCCGTCCTGGCGAACGTAAGCGATGATGGCATCCTAGACATCAGAAGACCCCTCCTCGAGGGCCGCATCGATAATGCCCGCGATAGTCTCGGGCTGGCCGGGCCTTGGCAGAGACAATACTCTTGGTCGACGTTTCCGCGCACCCGGCGAAGGCGTTGCCCATGATGGGCCCCAGGACGGGCCAGGAAGGACGAGGGCGTGCGTCAACTGCGGCGTATGCGCCAAGAGAATGGACGCCCTGTCGCCGATGGTGACCCGTGCCACGCGTGGAAGACCTTTGTCGTGAACCTCAGCCACGGCACCGATGTGACGTGCGTATACGTATCCATGGCGACGATGAGAGGAGTTGATATTGGCGACCTTGAGCTTGGGAAGGATGTCGTTGAGGGTGGGGAGCACGATGGCAGCAAGTTTGAAGGCGAAGGTGCTCATTGGTGGCGTTATGGGCATGACAAATCAATTGCCAGGCAGCGGGAGTCTTTGTTCTCGTAAGGAGGATATTTGTTTATCGAGTTACTTCGTTTTGATCTCTTCGTTGACCCATGATGGTTGGAAGGCTTTCAGAACCCTGCATCCAACTTGGCTGAACTCAGCCTCGACCGTCTCGCGTATTTGTTTCATCACGCTATCCTTGACTGATTCGGGCTTGTCCTCTTCCAATTTCTTTCTACGGTCCTTCAACAACTTCTCTCTGAGATCCGCCATTTCATCACAGACGTCCGGCATCTGCTTCTCGAGGGTGTCGCACCTAGCTTGAAGTTCGTCCACCGCAATGTCGAGATTGCCGACAGCCTCCACGCTTTCGAATTGACCATCTTCTACCTCACTGCATTTTTTCTCCAGGTCATCGCACCGCGCTTCGAGCTCCGCATTACGTTCCCGCAGTTCCTCCACCGTTTGTCGTAGATCTTCGATCTGTTGTTGCTGCTGTTGCTGCTGCTCAAACACACGCATCAGTAGACTGTCGGGGTCGGCTGACGGCAACCGCTGCGATTTGTTCGGATGAGTGGCGTCTCGTGTAGGCGTCGTTGCGGCGCATGCGGTGGTACGTGTACGTTTTCGTTTCAGGTGTTGCATGTGGATATCTGCGTTTCCCAGAGGGAAGACGCCCTGAGAGGAATCCGACTGATCATTCCACCGATCAGCATCGCCATACCCCGGTGGGTCGCGGTCGTAGTTGCAGTCGTAGTCGCGTCTGAAGCTTTCGGCCACGATGGCTGCGGCGTCTGACATGGCCTTCGGCGACTGTTCCTCGCTCAAACATTCATCGTACGGCGGGGGTGAGCCTCGCTCGGGTGGCACATCCTCAAAGGCAAGAGTGCTACCGCACGATGCAGGCGTGGCCGGGCCGGGGGAGTTGCGATGTTCCTTTGTGGACGGAGAATCCTCATGGTCATGAGGCCTGTCCACCTTGCCGCCAGCGCCATGGTACAGCCTGCCCACGTCCACCATGCACTCATACGCCTGCTTGTCCCTTTCCGTCAAAGAAGGGAAACCCAGAATAGCCCTCTGGTAAGTCGCGAACGTCTTTCGCTGCAAGATGTCGTGCCGAAAGTACACGGAAAACCGCGAGGCTTTCGCGAGGGACACCAATGATGCCCGAGTGTCCGAAACAGGTCCGTTAGGCGTATTTTCGTTGTCAGAGTCGATTGGCGTAACTAGGTCGATCTTGCCCTCGCTATGCAGCTGGAACTGAAGACAAGCTACCGATTGCATGCCGTGGAGGAGCCAGCGGACAGTTTCGAGGTAAGGTGGAACTGGGCCGCTGGTGCCGGTTTTGTCATAGAGCGTTTTTTTGAGCGACTTGATACAGTTCGCTCGGATTTGTAGCCAAGTCGTGGTATTGGTTGGCATGCCGTTGGGTGCTGAGAAAAGTCGGAAACAGACGAGGCCGGGGGAGGAGTATCGGGCGCGGAGTTGCAGACGCTGCTCGATCACTTCAGGTAATTGGCCCTCATCTTCACGCACCGCGATGACTTCGTGTACGTCAAAGTCGGAATCGCCCGGGTAATAGGGCGGCATGTTGAAGCCTTTCTCGACTGCTTTTGTAGGGTTAAAAGAACACGGAGGAGCGCAGTAGCCGACACCGAGCAGGAAAGGGGCCGGTACTTACCTATAGTCATGCTAGCATCGTCCTTTTTCGCCCTTCGCAGCATTTCCTCAGCGCGGTCCTCCTAGACGAGACGCATCCGGCAAGGCTCCGACCCGGCTCAAAGTGCATGTGTAGCTATTGTGCGAACAGTAGAATGACCGGGGTGTCTAGTCACGAACTCAGGCGTGAAGCTGCGAATGCTACGCTCTGAATTGGTTCCGACGAGTACCCGATCCCGCTCGCACAATGAGTCACGCCAGCAAATGAACGGTCGGAACGGT